AGGAGGAGGAGGAGGAGGAGGAGGAGGAGGAGGAGGAGGAGGAGGAGAGAACTGTGTGGTCCTTGCTGCCCTCTGAGCTGGGTGGTTTTCTTGCAGATGTTTTGTGACCCAACCAAGGAACGTCATCAGTGCTAGAAGGGGGTGGGGTTTATGGAGAGGAGGAAGAGGAGGAGGAGGAGGAGGAGGAGGAGAAGAGAGCTGTGGGGTCCTTGGTGCTCTCTCAGCTTGCTTGCTTTCTCCAGGACATTTCCTGACCCAACTGGGGAACATCATAGAAGGGAGCGGGGTTTGTGAGGGAGGAGGAGGAGGAAGGCGGCTCACCTCACAAACTTCCGCCATTCCTCCACAAAGAACCTGGAGACCACGTAGAGCTCCCCCACCTCCTGGGGAAGAGAGATTTCATCATTAAGGGCCCAGAGGGTCCCAAAGGGAGGCCGGGCACTCAGCCAGGCTGCAGGGGAACTTAAGCCTTTTGGGAGAAGTGGGGGGGGGGGGGAAGCAAAGCCAGGAGAACTCCAGGGAGATCCTGCCTCACCCTCCTGTTCCCAAAGGACCACACAGGACCTCTAAGCTGCACGGCACCTGTGTGTAGACACACACAATTGGGCAAATTCTGTTGCTTGCAAAGCACAGCTGAATCTTTCATTGCAGCTGCTGATTTACGGGGCTGGTTCCTCACTTAAATGGGCAGCCCTCCCTCTCCAGCGAAACATCTTGGCCAGAGCCTTGAGTCGCTTCCCCCCATATCCCCAGTCTCCCCCACACCTCAGGCCAGCTGCTGAGACAGGGCCGTGTCTTGTCCTGGAAGAGGTGGGGCAGGCTGGCTTTCTGCTCACTGGCCATCATCTTGTGCAGGGCTTCGTTCTCCTCCCCTTCCCGCTCCAGAATCTGTAGAAAGGCAAGCGCTGGTCACGGGGGCCCCTTCCTGGAAGGAGTGAGGGTCTGCCTGTTTTTAGGAGGTGGGGGTTGAGCCTTCCAGGAGTGGCCTATTCCACTGGGCAAAGCAACAACAGCAGAAGGCGCTGAATGTTCTGACTGAGGCTTCCTGAGAGGATGAAACAAACTCCTGGTCCCGACAAAAAACTCTTTTATTAATTGACTGTGAATTCATTCACTTCCAGCAAAGTCTTTTGAGGGAGGATTTATGGTCACAGACCTTATCTGGCTTGGAGAGCTGCCAGGCCGATATCTGCAGAACTTGGNTGACATGCAACAGCCCTTGGCAAATCAAGGAAAAGGAAGGAGATGCGGCCCACAACCAACACTTCTCTTCCCCCTGGTGTGTCTGCTCTGAGGGTCCTGGCAGAGAGGCTGCCACAGCACCCAGCTACCCGCTAGGCCGCTTCAGAAGTGGGATATACCCGAACTTGACGCCTGCCGAGAAGTGCCCCACAGCTGAAGGGAGCAGCGCGCGTGATGCCAATGTGTCACTTCCTCTTGCCCACCCCCGCTTTCTGCTCGCTTGCTCACTCACCAGGTTCGGTCATGTAGAGCAGGCGCTCTGCGCTCTCCTGGGGGGCTTCCCTCCTGATCACTCGGATGGCGTGATCCACCACGAAAAGCTTTCCGATCTTTTCCCATTCGTCGGGCCATATCAGAGCTATACTGTGCCAAGAAGCAGAACCGGCTGTCTTCTCTCAAAGGCCAGCCACGCCGCCCCCTCGCACCTCCAGACCCTCAGGAAAGCCGGTCACCAGGGAAGAGTCGGGGGGGGAGGGAGGGAAGGCCGAATGCCTTGTGCAAAGGCTGTCTGGTGTGTGTGTGTGTGTGTGTGTGTGTGTGTGTGTGTGTTACCCTGCTGGAGCTGCAGAGACACCCCCCGCCCCCGGTGCCCTGAGCCGCTTGGCTCTTCTCTCCAGCTTTCCAGGGGAAGGCGCCGGAAGGAAGACACTCACAGTTTAGAGTCATCCTTGGTCATGGATGCAACGGTGAACATCAGCCCCCCGTGGGGGCACAGCAATTCCCGGTTTCCGACAGAAGAGACGGGGCTGCATCGGGTGGGCCTCCTGGTGGAAGGCAAGAAAAAAGGAGGGCGGGCGCGTTGCAGACTCCCTTTGGCTAGCAGAAATGGGGAGGGGGGAAGGCCCGTGCGTGGGAGTCCAAAGGAACGGAGGGGTGGGAGGGAGAAAGGGGTGGGCACACGAGCGAACCAAAGGATGTGGAAGGGATGGAGGAACCGTTCCCAGGAGAGCTGCCCTACATGGAAGGGAAGAGGGGGAGGGCGACAATGACTGTAGGGTCCTTGGTGCTCTCTGAGCTTGGTTGCTTTCTCCAGGACATTTCATGACCCAGCTAGGGAACGTCGTCAGGCTAGAAGGGAGTGGGGGTTTATGGAGAGGAGGAGGAGGAGGAAGAGGAAGAAGAGGAGGAGGAAGAGGAGAGAACTGTGGGGTCCTGGGTGATTTTCTTGCAGACGTTTCATAACCCAACTAGGGAACGTCAGTGCTAGAAGGGGGTGGGGTTTATGGAGAGGAGGAGGAGGAGGAAGAGGAAGAAGAGGAGGAGGAAGAGGAGAG